TTTTTGCATGTAAACTAAAAAAACGGTTGTAACTCGAAATATGTTTTGTTTTCGGTTACGCAATAACAGCTGATTAGCGATGGTTATGTAATATTCTCCGTAAATCCTTTTCTCTGATTGGTTCAGATTTTCCCGGGAAATTCAAATTTAAAATTGAGAAAGTTTAATATTTAAGTAGCTATTCATTATTTTACAGAACTTTTAACCTCGAACTTAAAATTCGCGCATTCTTTAGTTTTAGACTCTGTTATGAAACATACATGAGATTTAAAGCTGAAAATATGTTTCTGAAGCCTGTTATGAAATATATATAAGATTTAAAGCTGAAAATATGTTCCTGAAGCCTGTTATGAAATATGCATGAGATTTAAAGCTGAAAATATGTTTCTGAAGTCTGTTATGAAATATACATGAGATTTAAAGCTGAAAATATGTTCCTGAAGCCTGTTATGAAACATACATGAGATTTAAAGCTGAAAATATGTTTCTGAAGCCTGTTATGAAACCTATATAAGATTTAAAGCTGAAAATATGTTCCTGAAGCCTGTTTTGAAACATACATGAGATTTAAAGCTGAAAATATGTTCCTGAAGCCTGTTATAAAACATACATGAGATTTAAAGCTGAANCCCTTTTTAAGATAAATTCAGCCTGTTATGAAATATACATGAGATTTAAAGCTGAAAATATGTTTCTGAAGCCTTTTATGAAACATACATAAATAAATATTTATCTTGGTTTACAGATACTGTCGTTGTAATTATGACTCTTTATTTAAAAAAAGAGGAGAATGCCTAATTTACCAGGGTACCCTTAATCTGATCAAACATGCAAGAACTTCGAAGAGAAACCACAAATGAAAATATGAAAACAAAAGCATGGATATCTAATTCATACTTGACCAGACAAAGCTTTTTAATGGTACCATTATAAATCGGACAATCAATCAATTACGGAATTCAAAATTAACGGTTTTAGTCCTTCGTTAAAGGACTTTTCCGTCCATTTAAAAAAAATTACCGTTCGTTAACGGAACGTTGACCAGCCCCAAACCTGACACAGCAATGTCAGAAATTTAAATACGTTTAAAATCTCCTAATACATATAGATAACGCAGATTCAATAATTGTATAATATCGATAGTTAGACATAGACAACCGAAAGAAAGGAACCATCTCTAATTTGGTTAAAATTGGATACACAGCTGCTCATTGTTTGAAAATCAAAACTTATTTTATTTTCAATTTTTTTATATGAATGAAGCTGTATTTGTATGAATCCTGCTGTAGTAAAATGTTCAAAGTTTACACCAAAGAGTTTCAAAGATATATGGATTACAAAAAGTTGAGTTTCAGACCAGAAATCATTTCTCCACTTAGGCGTTTGTTTGATTATTATCGTTAAAATCATTCAGCGAATTCTACAAGCACAAAGCATGCGGAATAACAAATTTGGGCGCATCGATTTTCCTATTCCGCTGGAAACACTACCCACCCAGCTGGAAAATCTATCTTGATCGGAATTCCGATTTCTGACTTGAGGAATTCCGCCTAAGGAATGAAATCGCTCCGCTTTTTCAGTCCGATCTGTTCTGGTCGTACATTAAGCGGAGATTGATAGCATAAACAGGGCGGTTGAACCGATGGGTAGAAAATGAGAACCAATCTCATGCGTGTAGTTTAAAAACTCCCACTAACAGAACTGTAAATCTCCTCAAAAAGATCAAATCGGTGTTAAAAAAGATATTTTTTTTAACACTTGAATCTCTTTAAATCTGACCATTCCAAGGTTAGATTAAGTCTTCTGCCTTGAATATATTTTTATGACTTTTTCAATGATTAGACAAGTTTGTAATTGCAGGTTTTCATGAATATATGGAAACAGACAGCATTAATTCCGTACTGTCGTCTCTGATGTCTCATTCTTTGCGGGTAGCCCTGTATAGATATTGTTTATGAATATCTACCCCTTTTCAAGGATGTAATGCAAGGAAAGTTATTTCAAAAGTGTACGCATCTTTTGTACTGCAGTGTACTGTCTCTGGGCGGTAATGGAAACACAAGAATTTAATCAAATTTAATGCTTTTAATCTCCTCGGATACTAAACGAACACTGATGCATCTATTCTTGTTTACAAATTCCGCCCAGAGAGAACTGGTTTCAATATGTACGCAGAGTATTAACTTTCCTTGCATTACACCCTTGCCCCTTTATATCTGTTAAACTCTGTCCATGGATCATGATGCCTGGATTTCAAACAAAGCAAGTATATTAAAGTCCCGCCGGAATCCAGTTAAATTCAATATTTTAAATAAATTTGGAGGGAAATTCAACGGTTAAGTGAGACGGGGGGGGNGGGGGGGGGGGGGGGGTAATTCTACACCCAAACTAGCATCTGCAAATAATATGTTTTAGGGAGAACCCATACAAGTCAAATTATTCAATTCAAATTTTAAATCTATAAAATCAGATTTCAGTAATAAAATATTTACTGTCGAATTGTTTTTAAGGTGTGGCACAAAACTGAATATTCAATTTCTTGAAACAAACAGTCATTTAGTTTTCATTTCATTTTAGATTTCAAGTTGTTTATTTAAAATATATACAATTTATTAGTATCAATGACACCCCCCCTCCCCCCCCCCAATTTCTCTGTTGTTATGATATTCTGTTAACCGGAGTATCAATAGTATAAAGAATGGAATGAAGAGAGAGAAAAGAGAGATTAGGAAATTTTAGTATAAATCAGTGAAAGAGTGCGCGCTTATGCATAGCGCGCACAGTAGAGGTTAGCTGATGAAGGATGTACGCGCTATAAAGATCGACCATGATAGAACCTAACTTGATTTCATGTATCACGTCTACTTGCAAACCTATCCAAGGACTAAATAAATTCCAATTTAAACTGTAACAACTATTAAAGATTAATACCCTGTGACATGTAAACAAAAATTAGTGATGTCACAAAATGTCACACTATAAAAAAATTATAGGTGTAGTTTTATTTTGATTGCTAAGTAGGTCTAAAAAAGTAACCTTGGTTTGTGATATGAGTGTTTTGAAAAAAGGATGAAAGGAACTGAGTTTTTGGCACAAATTCTGATTTTCTAATCCCTATATCTTTGCAACCTGATGGTGTATTCAAACTATCATTATGTGATCTAACAGAATTCATAGTTTGAAATATCAAAGGTCTCCGACATTGAATTGCAAAGATATTGGGATTAGAAAATCCGAGTTTGTGACCAAAACTCAGTTCCTTTACAATATTAGAGCTATTTCAAGTTTTTTAAAGGAAAATTTGATGTTATCTTCGCTAATATATCCCCTGAAGTGTGCTGGGTAGTTGGTGTTGTATCAGCTCCAATATATATCCCCTGAAGTGTGCTGGGTAGTTGGTGTTGTATCAGCTCCAATATATATCCCCTGAAGTGTGCTGGGTAGTTGGTGTTGTATCAGCTCCAATATATATCCCCTGAAGTGTGCTGGGTAGTTGGTGTTGTATCAGCTCCAATATATATCCCCTGAAGTGTGCTGGGTAGTTGGTGTTGTATCAGCTCCAATATATATCCCCTGAAGTGTGCTGGGTAGTTGGTGTTGTATCAGCTCCAATATATATCCCCTGAAGTGTGCTGGGTAGTTGGTGTTGTATCAGCTCCAATATATATCCCCTGAAGTGTGCTGGGTAGTTGGTGTTGTATCAGCTCCAATATATATCCCCTGAAGTGTGCTGGGTAGTTGGTGTTGTATCAGCTCCAATATATATCCCCTGAAGTGTGCTGGGTAGTTGGTGTTGTATCAGCTCCAATATATATCCCCTGAAGTGTGCTGGGTAGTTGGTGTTGTATCAGCTCCAATATATATCCCCTGAAGTGTGCTGGGTAGTTGGTGTTGTATCAGCTCCAATATATATCCCCTGAAGTGTGCTGGGTAGTTGGTGTTGTATCAGCTCCAATTCTTAGATTCTATTTAATCATATATAAAGTTTCTCACATACAAATATAAGTTAATTTCAAAATTTTTTCCTTCGAAAATCCTTTCCATATAAACTGTACTTAGTTCTCTAACCCAGGAACGACCTTGTAGGAGCAAGCACAATATTCACTCTAGAGTTTATCAAGACCAACCTTGGGACAAATACACAACTCTTTAGATACCAGGGTTCATACTCATATACTTAGGATCAAAGAACTTAATCTCGATACAAACCAGTTTTTATCAGATTTTAGGATATTGTTTTAGAAACGTGCAATCGAGCCCAACAACGGACAGAAGAAAATGTTAACTCTGGTTTGATATCTCTAGAACAGGGATGAAACTCAGTGCTTAATTTGATCTGATCAGGAACATTTAACCTCGGGTTGATAAAGATTAAAAAAACTTAAAATATTTACAGAGAAATGGGGCAGGCCTTAAATTATTTTTTTTTCGTTGAATTTATAACTAAGCTTCACTTAACGCGTTATTCTTACTCAATTGTATAATGTTGAGCCGTGTGAAGCATGGTTTATTATATCCGGGTTCTCAAAACCACGCATCTGTAATCCTTTATTCTTCCACCTTTAGTAGGCAACACATAGGCTAGTAACACGGTATTTAGAAAACTGGACGGATGACAGTAAATATCACTACTCCTCCTCCTTAATTATCTTCTCTGCTATTTCAGTTTCTATTTTTGCAGTTAATTCTACAGTCCTTGTATTTCTATGATCCTACGACCCCTTCACCTCTCTCTCTCTGCGTATCGTGATATTGTATTTTCTCTTGTGATCTCTCTCTATCCCTCCCTGTATCTATATATCCATCTATCTAGTTTAGTGAAATGTTGTAAAACTACATATAAAGCATGGTAGGGTATAGTGTGAGGAGAAAGTGATCCTACCCAGGTCATTGTACCCTCACGCAGCAATTTCTTTGCAGATAATCATATCATCTTCTACTAACTTAACTGGGAGAATTCCGTCATCAAACTACAATGAAATAACTCAGAATAAATAAGATTAAACTATACATATAATTTATTTTTACCCTTTCTGCTTTATATACGTGCAAATTACACAATAACGTTAAATAATTTAAACCTAGGATAAACATACGATTGAATATAATATTAAACAACTCCGGGTTGAGTTTGATCTCTGTGGTTTCTCCAAGACCAAGACCAAGTCCTGAGACTAAGTTATCCCAAGATGTTTGGTTTCCTAGATCGTCTGCCTCTAAGTCCTCTAGATCTAGTATAGGGAACTCCTCGTCCTCGATCCTGTCCCAGTGTTCTGGATATCCAGGATACGGAGCTAGGATTAGATCCTCTCCTCCCTCCGAACCCTGGTTTGAATACCGGAGCCTAGATAGAGAGCAAAGTTTGTTAAACTTTATAAAACAATCTCCCACTCTTCTTTAGAATTCAGATTTATTTCAATTCTTCAACCTTTGACACAAGTTTCAGAGTTTTAAACTTGAAATTTGCAAAAACAAGAAAAATATATCCATGGAATAGGAAAAGATGTGGCAAGAGCTAAAATTAAAAGATATGATTCAGCAGACCTACAGGACTTATCTAGATTGTATGGAAGATACAAAAAACAAGAAAACTTACGACTTTAAATTGGGCATTGATAAACACTTCCTCAACCCGAAGATTTTGGTATCGATACTTATTACTTATAGATTTTGCGTTTAAACATTCTCATAAAATCCTTTACATTATATTTTCATATAAAATAAAAACCGATTGCTAAGTCGTCATTTAACCCTGAAATAGAACAAGCGCATAGAACATATTTTCCTTCACTTATTAGCGAAACTTTTATCTGATGTTCCTGTCTCGAAAAATTGACACAAAACTGTGTTAAAATTATATGAAAGTTCATATATGTAAAATTTAGAAAATCTTAAACTTAAATCACGTGACCAGAACTATAACCAATGGCAGAGCAGTATACTGATCACGTGTCTCCGCCTGTATCACGTGACCACTTTACTGCACTGCCATTGGTGGAATTTCTGGTCAAGTAATACGGACGTATAAATAATATTATGAATGAAATCTATCAAAAATAGAAATAACAAATATAAAAGTAAACCTAATTTACAATTAGCTTTCTCTGGGATATCATCGTTTTCAGATTGGTTGCTTATTTGCTGAATTTGATCTTTTTAAACCTACTACTTTTATACAAAATTGTATATATATTAATTTTCGTATTAATTTGACAAAGTTGTATATCAATCTCTCGAGATAGGAACATCAGTTATAACTTTCATAGGTCGCGATCGAGAGCTAAAGTGATTAGCTTTCATCCTATACCCCCTTTCATTTTTCCTTTACAGTCCCTTTAATCATTAATACTTTGTCTTTTTCCTTAATAGATCCTGATCCAAGCCCATGTGTATACCCAGAGCTGCTCACTTCGAACCCTCCCATACAAGGAGCTCCTCCAATGAACCCAGAGCTGCTAACATCAAGTTTATCTGCTCGAACGGAGGTCTTAGAAGAAAAATATATTTAATATATGTTTAAATATAATACAAAAATATACAATAACAAGAATGAAGGAATAACAAAAGTTCAAATGATGTGAAAAGAATAAAAAGAAGATAATTAAATGACGAGACTCGATTTGGAGAATTACGTTAGGAAGAAAAATGTACAGTGATATCCAGAAAACAATGGAATAGGATAACAACATTATATAACAATACTAAAGTGTATTTGATATTGTTACAAAGCAAATAGTTTTAAAAGACACTTATATAATCACTGATTAGTGAGATGGGTCTGTTTACATTGCACAATTGCTGTGTCTCATTCTCATTGGACTTATATATATAGTTATAAATTGATTCTTATGTTGGTCTTCCTTTTTTAGAGTTTTCTGGTTTGCAATTTAGGAAGAAAATATAAAAATAGAGATAAAGGAAAAATTAAAAAAGGATACAGAACATATAGATAAAGATAGATTGCGCATAAGACGACATTTTTTATCTTGAAAGATATAAATGTACAGAGATGTTTTAAACATATTCCTATTATATAGATTAACTAGGTCGGTTGTGAACATTGGCTGTTCTTGGATGGTTTTAAAAAGAGAGTGTCACATATTTAAACCGGATGACAAGCGCCTAAAAAAGTTGAAGAATAAATTAGGTTGGATAAGTAAAATATAAGAGAGGGTTTGAATAAGAATTGTTTAGAATAAAAAAGAATAAAAAACTGGCAAAAGATAAGGGATTGATAAAAAGGAGAGTTTAAAGGATGACCATGAGAAGAAGAAAAGAGGATCGTGTAAAGGTAAGTATAAGTGACAACCTACCCTGAATAATGAGAGAATAAGTCTAGATGAAACCTACCCTGGATAATGAGAGGATAAGTCTAGATGAAACCTACCCTGGGTGATGAGAGAATAAGCCTAGATGAAACCTACCCTGGATAATGAGAGAATAAGTCTAGATGAAACCTACCCTGGATAATGTGAGAATAAGTCTAGATGCAAATTATGTAAATTATATCTGTAAAAAAAACTGTGTATCATGTGGATAAACTTAGTCTTTACTATCTTCTTCACCCTGTATTTCATAAACATGATTTTAATAACTTATGTTACCCTCTGTTCCAACCCTTACGCTGAGTATTCCCCTTTCCCTTATACTCCCTCACCTCCTCCTTACATTTTTCCTGAGTTATCATCATTCTTGTGTTTGAAATGTACAATGTACATTTTTTTTATTTGCAATTCTCATTCGTTTATAGTGGGCGAACCAATTAAAACAACCTACTCTGGTTAGGCGGGTCCAAACTACATAGTAAATTGTGATTTTTTTATTTGTATTATCTCGTGCTTTGTAGTTGAATAAAAATATTAAATATGAATAGATGAAACCCATCCCGGATAATAAGAGGATAAGTCTAGATGAAACCTACCCTGGATAATGTGAAAATAAGTCTAGATGAAACCTACCCTGGATAATGTGAGAATAAGTCTAGATGAAACCTACCCTGGATAATGAGAGGATAAGTCTAGATAAAACCTACCCAGTGTAATGACAGGATAAGTCTAGATGAAGCCTACTCCGGATAATGAGAGGCTAAGTCTAGATGAAGCCTACCCCGGATAATGAAAGGATAAGTCTAGATGAAACCTACCCCGGATCTCTGGGTCTGGTAGGACGGAATCCAGTTTTCCAGGTGTTGAACCAACTGGGTCTTGTACTCTAGGGGATTATACTCTTCTTCCTTCGTCAAAATATAAATTATTAAGTATAACTATATTTAAGCTTTGATCGCTTATATAATTCTCTCATTGGGAATAAAATTCATGGATTTTAATTCCTGTGACAAGCTGGTGTTCTTCACAGGAACTTTATTTCCTAAACTTTTTGGTGATTTATTAAAAAAACTCCTCCCCCGGATGATTTGCCCGGAGGTGGGGGTGATGAAGTCTTGCATACACTGAAGCCCCTTGATGGTCTTAAAGATTTCTACTAATAAAAACAGATTGAGAGGATTTTTAACCACGTGACTTCATCGGAACAGTTCTGGAAAATAAACTTCACGTTTTAATTTAAATTGAAATATTATTTTTTTAATCAACTTTAAAAATTGGTTCTTCATAAATTTTGAATATGCTAGCAATTTTTATTTTATACTAGCTGAAGTTCCTGTGGAATTTCTTATTTTCAGTGAAATAAAATCCTAAAATAGGGAGCAAACATTACATACATACAGAATTTTTTTAAAGCAAGTGAGATTATTTTTCCAGAAGATGGAAACCTCTGAATTAAGCACAAGAGAAGTATTTCCATATTATTGGGTTAAAGAAGAAAAAAGAATAAAACAATGGTGGTATGTGAAGAAGAAAGAAACTGTGCACCCCTCACAAAATCAAGTTTTCAGATCCCTATATCTTTGCAACCGGATATTTTAAACTTTGATTTCTTCTTGATCAAACGGTTGAAATTTTAAATATGGAACGATCAAGTTTGGGGTGAATGTTCAGTTCAATGACATTAAGAAACAACTTAAAAGATTTTCTTTATATCGTGGTATCTTTTTAATATGCACTTTTTGATTAGATAGCTGTCAAAAAGTTCAAATACGAAATTAAACTCTACTCTTAATTGTCATGTTTATTGGGACACCCTGCACTTTTCAAATGTACCCTTTTTAAGATAAATTCAATCGTACAAAAAATCTAGCCTTACAGGGTTCTCCCAGGTACCCTGAGTCCAGTCCAGAATAATAATTAAATTTATTATTTTTGCCTCTCAACTACCATATAAATACTTCTTACGATAATTTCGTCTACCCATTTTTGAACAATTGCCCTTAAAAAACGCTATCGTAAGGTTCAAAATGATAAAACAAAACAATAAGGCCCTTAGCAGATAAAAAAGTTTGTTTCTTCAAAGATTGAAAAATAGTATTTAAGAAAGGTAAAAATCATTGAAAATACAATCTTGAGCCAAAAAATGTAATTTTATAAAAAAAAACCTTCGTTTTTGTTACGATTTGCAATTTTTAAAATCAAAATGTACGAGCAGACATACTAAACGATAGCAAAAGTGAATCAGCGTAGAATCTGACACTATTATTTGTTTAGTTATGACCCTTAGAGTACCTTTTCTGGGACATACTTTATATATATAAGTTGTTTTCTACCTGAGGAATCCCTTGAATTATATTCAGAACCTTCCATCCTCCTGTATCCTGTATCCTCTCCTGTATCCTGGGGATGGGGAGCAGGGTATCCTGGCTGCTCAACATACGGAATCCAAACATGGTTCCGGATAGCGGTCTCATTAGGAACAAGTTCCTAGGGTTTAAGAAAATTAGAAAAAGGAAATAAAATATGGATCGCATTGAAAAAATAGAAAAGTATAAAAAAAATAAAGAGAGTCAAAATTCTGTGCAGTGAGAAATAAGTAACCAAATAAAAAACTGTTTTTGCAATCGTTTTCAAAAGAGGATTTAAATCTTAAACTAGTAAAAAATGAAAAAATTTTGGATGGAAAAATATGCCCATAATAACTCTTCAGAAAACATATTTTGTATTTAAATAAAGGGGTAATGTTGCAAAATCGAAACTGTAGTTTAATTTTTCAGAATCATCGTTTATGTTTATATTTCAGCTAATGAAGAATAAAATGAACTGTTTTATAAAAAACGGATATTTAACTTACAATGGAAAAAATCCCTAACTTGTAGTGAATAAATATATAAAATTGAATATATTGCTCAGTTTGAGGCGAGTCCTCAAAGTATAAAAATACAATGTAAAACACAAAGTTATATAGCCCCAGTTATCGAAAAATCGCACAAAAATCTAGCAGGGTTTTGGCTATTATTATATCATTTCATACAGCCTTTCTTATCGCAAAGCTAGAATCAAGTGCGTTTAGTTTCCAACTGTAGTAACTGTAGTAAACATGTAAAGTTTACTCAGTTAAAAGCAAAAACCAACACTTCAAAGTCGACCCGGTCTAGAAAATTGTTGCATGATTTTCATAAGTCTCTTAACCTCTTGGTAGTACACCCTCTACCAAAAACTGTCCAATTCCATAGGTCAGGTTTAATAAATGGTGAGAAGTACATAAAGTACATAGTTGAATTATTTCTTAGCCACGCAAGTAAAGTAGTTTAACTATCCGTAACTAGTTCAACGATACTTCTTTAATTAATTTCTACCTCTGTTGTATTTAATCACTGTTTACCTTTCACTCTGTACAATAAGACAGTTGTTGAATGTAGTGAGCTCCCTGTGTAGAACTGCCAGGTTTCTCATGTTCTCTTCCTTCTCCGCCCAACCTAACTCCTTCGAGGTACTCGGAGTTACCAGGAATAGGTCTCCACAGGTCGCACTCTCACATATTCCTAAATTAATCAGTATTGCCCGCAAAGGATCAGACTTCAAATACGCCCTCAAACTCTTTAAGTATGATCATTGGTAAATGTAACAAAGTAAAATCATAATGTGCAATATCTATCAGTCTTATTGTTCTAAAATTGTTTACATATGTAGATTAGATCTGGACATTTATATACAATCAGTCCCTTCCCCAGGTCCATTCTTTAGTGAGGTGTCAAAAATCTATGGATATATAAAAATGTCCCGATCTAAAAAAGAAGTTATTGAGTTTTTGGCGATTTTTGACACTCTCGTCACTGATGTTTATGCCTTTTCTTTAATTGTTATATTTTCAAAAATCATACTGCAGATATCTGGCGATTAAATTCCGTACAGCCGTCTCTGATGTTCCTGATGTCTCATGACTGTAATATACGAACTAAATGATATCTGAACTCAACCTCGTCAAAGTAAGAATTTTTACTTTATTGCAGTTTTGGAGCCCGACCGTTTATATGTTTGTTAGACATTTGTCTGACAGTTTACCTGTTTGTCTGACAGTTTACCTGTTTGTCTGACGGTTTAGTTGTTTGTCTGACAGTTTACCTGTTTGTCTTACAGTTTACCTGTTTGTTTGACAGTTTACCTGTTTGTCTGACCGTTTAGTTGTTTGTCTGACAGTTTACCTGTTTGTATGACAGTTTACCTGTTTGTCTGACCAGTCTGATCCCCTTGAACGTGTTGGTTAGGACTCTGTTAAACACCTGGTTTGGAATAAACTCCAGATTCACAAACCTACGATGTATATCCAAGAGGAGGTTTTCTTTTACTCCTTTACTCGACATCTCCAGAGAGATGTTTGGTGAGGAGCAAGAATCATCAAGAAAACTTCTCCTGAGAAACCCATCCAGCTCCTGACTACTAGAGTAAAATTCTATTTTAAGAACATCATCCTCAGCGTAGATAAGTCCAGGATTATACATCGGAGCAAACACCTTGATGGGACGCATTTTCACATTCCTGAAGGATGATACCTCCAGACTATGTTTAATTTCTTCAATCCTAGTTGTTACAATTTGGGATTGATAGAGACCTGGACTCTCTTCAGCCATGCCTAGAATAATCTCTATACAGTCCTCTAGTCCTGATGGATACGGGAGCGTAGGTTTCTCTGAGAACCTGGATTGTCTCACCAGATCTATCAGATTGTTGATCGATGAGGATATTGCCGGCCAGGCAGACGGAACCAGAGATGTTTTCCGCAGAACAGTTTCAACACGATCTTTCCTATAAAGTAAGTTTGTCTATAAAATTCTCATTTTGATAACGAATCCTTTGCTTACGCCTTGATTTGATGATTTTGGTTTAAATACAGATAATCACAGGGATTGCAAATGTTGTTAGTCTCATCGGTAATGTCGTTTTCTTGCCTTTCTTTCCTGTACAAATAGACAGGTCATCGGTCAAAATAAACATCAAGGTTTTTTTGTAACAGGTAGGAAATCGTTTGACTCAATGAAAGTAAGGGGTCACAAATCTTGACAATTGACCGACCCTTTCATCTATATATAAATTTGGCTTGTCTGTCTGTTTGTATCCAATAAACGTCAAAACGGCTGAACCGATCGGGCCCAAATTTTTTGTGGGACATCTAGGGACCCCAGGGAAGGTTTATGAATGATCAAAATTTCAAATATTTGTCTCCATCACAATTCGATCTTCATTAAATTTTTTAAAATTTTGAAAATCCACGAAATTTTTTGTGAAAATCCGCGAATTATTTTTGTTTTGTTTTACGATGTACACAAAGAGAACATGTTCACAATTAATTTAGAAGATGAGGATAGTAAGTTAAACTTTAGTCAGAAACGGTTCTGCAAGGAACTAAACAGTGTTATTTTCAGAATTAAATTGAAACTACATACAAACCATAATCTCAACAATTCTACTTTAACTTATCCCCCTGACGGAAAATCAACGGAGCAATATGTTCGTACCGTTAGAACGATATAATCATGTATCTATCTATTTTTTACCCTGAAATTGAGCAATGTACAATATCTTATAGGAATATTAATGGCTATATTTAAATTAACTAGCCTTAGAGGGCGCTTCGCGCCCATCTTCTAAATTAATTGTGAACATGTTCTCTTTGTGTATATTGAATATATTATTATCATTATATTGAACGAATTGCAAGTCGTCTCATAAAGTTTTTTTTTCTGAGTATCCCTGTTTTTATTCCCGGAGTGTTCATACCTAATACAGTAAATGGATATGGACGGAATATGATTCATGTTCACAATTAATTTAGAAGATGAGGATAGTAAGTTAAACTTTAGTCAGAAACGGTTCTGCAAGGAACTAAACAGTGTTATTTTCAGAATTAAATTGAAACTACATACAAACCATAATCTCAACAATTCTACTTTAACTTATCCCCCTGACGGAAAATCAACGGAGCAATATGTTCGTACCGTTAGAACGATATAATCATGTATCTATCTATTTTTTACCCTGAAATTGAGCAATGTACAATATCTTATAGGAATATTAATGGCTATATTTAAATTAACTAGCCTTAGAGGGCGCTTCGGGCCTATCTTCTAAATTAATTGTGAACATGTTCTCTTTGTGTATATTGAATATATTATTATCATTATATTGAACGAATTGCAAGTCGTCTCATAAAGTTTTTTTTTCTGAGTATCCCTGTTTTTATTCCCGGAGTGTTCATACCTAATACAGTAAATGGATATAGACGGAATATGATTTGAACCGGAAGCTCCGGAAGCCAAGGTTAGGAGCAGGATGCTCTGTAGGTTCTCTGGTAAGGAGTCTACGTGATCCAACAGGTTTGGTGAGTCCAGGTCTAGAAAGATAAGATGAGGAATGGGTTCCCGGGATATAAAACATTCTTCTATCTCCATAGTTGTCTAATAAATGGGTAAGAAATTTAAATTCTAAAAATAATCTTAGACGACTTCCGATTTGTCAAGCTCGGAACTAAAGAACGATACCTTAATTCCTTAATTCCATGTTTAACTAAAGTATTGCTCAGATTTTGCTTCGCGCATTCATAACCAACCACGGAATAATGAATCCATGGGGCTTTCCAACTAAAACTATATTGCGGATTTTAAAGTACATAAGTTAGGTTATACAATTTAGGAAGACATGATTCGATGAATCAAATGACGGTATCTTCAACTTCTCAAAGAGAATACTTAAAGTAAGTTTCCATAACAATTTTATTATTCTTTATATCTCAACCAAAATTAAAGCGCAAAAAGAAAAATGTTAAGTCTTCCAATTAAAAAACATCAGAATATCAAGTCAAATTTTACGGTTTTAACTCGCAAACAAAGTTAAATTCGTCTTTGTTAAACGAAAACGTTTCTTTAAGAGGCAAAAAACTTCTTTGTACGTTAAATATGAACTTGAAGCTTTTCATTTTTAAAAATCTTTAGCCCCCCCCCTCTCCTTTTTTTTTGAGTTGTTCGTACTTATGAAGGGAAAAATAGACAATAAACTTTAATAATAAATGGGATCAAAGTTAATTGTTTAACTTAACACTATCACCTTAACAAGATGTATGTTCCGTACGCATTACAGTGCTTGCGTACATTAGTTATGAATTATGTTTAATTTTAATTCTCCTTGATTTATCAGAATATGGTAGGTACCTGCTCAAATAGAAGTTGATAACAATGGTTTTTATACTTAACAAATTTACGTGTTTGCAATTTTCTAAATTGTATTTGAAATAGACTAAAAACAGCAAACAGTTCTTAACATAAAATATTGTTTTACTTATTTTAAAGAAATTACAATTTACTGTTTAAATATCAAGATTTAATCACAATAGTCAATATAATTACAAATACCTAAAACATGTCAGACTTGAAGAATTTACGTTTTCACATTTTTTTTGATTACAATTAAAAATCATACAAGGTTAGGTTGACAAATTTAAGACATAGAAGGTTCATGATAATATTCGCCAATAGTTTTTGGTGTCGATCTTGTTTTGAAGTTCGACAACAATTCGACACAAAGCTGATTGCAGTTTAACTTGTTCATGACGAAAGAAGGAAGAAGTATGTTCATGAAGGAAGAAGTATGTTCATGAATATAGTTGTTTATTTACTTTCTTCTTTGAAAGTTTACTCCTGGATCCAGTGGGAGGATCAACCTAGAACAAAGCAAAAATGTTTTACAAAAATCATTTTGCTAATCATTTACTAAAAATACATTAGTTTAAAAAGGGACTTTTTTGAATTAAAAATATTTTATTGATAAGGTTAAGTTATCAGAGGTAACAGTTTCCAACCTGTGTCGAGATAAGAGGAGATGTTGAGAGTTTATGAATACTTGAAGATGTGAGAGGAGAAAATGAACTAATGGTGGATAATCCTGCTCCGAACCTGGCCGGAGACCATGATCCGTTCTTCTTTGGAGAATCATTCCGTCGAGAGAACCGTTTCTCCGGAGATGAGACTTTCTTTTTCGGAGACTTCATTCTCTTTACCGGAGAAACCACAGTCTCAGCCTGCAGATAAAAGTGTTGAGATAAACAAATAAGTTAGATTTTCTTAACTTTATAAAAACATGTAGATTGTAGATATCTAATCAAAAAAGGAATATTTATAAAATGAAAATAATTTAAATTTGAAGAATTAAGATCTTACCATCCACAAGTTACTATCTTGTTCCTTCAATGGGTCCTGAGCCTTGATCCGTTTAATTCTTATTTTAGGGGTTCGGTTCACTCCACTCTCTATCTCTATCTGGTTCTCTTTATTCGGAGTGCTCAGGGTGTCTCCGGGAGAGAGAGAAGATGTATTAGAACAGCTCTCAACCTTCTGCTTTTCTCTCTAAAAAATCAATAATAAGTTTTTTGAATTAGGTTTTAAAAATATAATCTTACCTTTGGTGAGTCGATGATAATCTTCGCAAGTTTCTGCGGAGAAATCCCGATATCCTTGGAGACGCTTCGAGATACACGAGGCATGAAGTAATCAGCCATAGACGGCATTAATTTGTCTTTATTGGACGATTTCTTATTTAAGGGTATTGGTTTAGCAACTCTGTTAAGTTTGAGTTTGAATCCTCCGGCAGGACTAGCCTCCATTCCTCCGATAGAGAAGAACTTTCCCATGGGGTTAGGAGAAGATCGGGACGTATCCGTATCAGAGGATGACCCGCTACTTGAGGTTAAATCTTTCATCTCTGCTGAATCATCTAAGGTTTTCAGTTTAAGAACTGATTGTCTCAGGTTAGACTCCGAGGGTGGTTTAGCACTGGAGATAACGGGGAGAATAGTACTGCTTCTACGGTGTAATGAACTAGATCTCGAATCGTTCTTGATTGGATTTGGAGTAGATGCAAGAATGAATTTTTTCTTTTTTGGCAGAGTTTCCTCCGGACTAGTTTCATCAGAGATATCTATTTCTATAATTGGTTCTTCATAGGATACAGGAATCCTAGATCGACCTGATCTTCTGCTGGGAGTACCAAACTCATTATTAGAATCATCCTCGTCCTTTCTATTTTTCCTTATCGGAGAATGATCGGCTTCGCGGGACAGCTTTGTCCTTGATTTTAAAGAGACATCAAGGAATGAGTCGATACAAGAACTCTCGTGAGATAAAAGCTTCATTTCACTCTTGAATACTAAAGCACAATATTTACACTCCATCCATGGAATATCTTCAGATTGCAATATAGAATTATTTTTTCTTTTCTTACTTAGCCTACGCTCGGAACAGGTTTCGCCATGTGCACTAAACTTTCGCTTGCTCTGGATGGTTTCCAACGAAACTGAACACTCTGAAACTTCTCCGGATCTAATTCTGGAGAAATCTTGTCGTTTTTCATCTCTTGGGGTTGAAGATATGTCCTTCTTTAAACTCTCAGTTTTCGAGGAAGACGTAGGGAATAAACCTGAACAAGATTTTTCATGAGACGACAGCTTCTGGGGATCTTTAAATATTTCAGCACAATACTCGCACTTCAACATAGGTTCGACAACGAAGCAGGTTTCAGCATGCGCCCTATGTTTCCGCCTACTGCTGAAGGTTTCATTACAAAAGTTGCATTGTAAAATTCTTGGTTTCGTTTCAGGTTTTACTTCTTTCCTTATAGAGCACGTTTTCTCGTGGGATCTTAACTGTTTAATTTCCTGAAAACGTTGTATACATTTTGAACATTCCAAGCTTGGCTCGACAACAAAGCAGGTTTCAGTATGCGCCTTATGTTTCCGCCTACTGCTGAAGGTTTCATTACAAAAGATGCATTGTAAAATTCTTAGTTTCGTTTCAGGTTTTACTTCTTTCCGCATTGTGCACATTTTCTCGTGGGATCTTAATTGTTTACTTTTCTGAAAACCTTGTAAACATTTTGAGCATTCCAAGGTTTGCTCTGTGTCTGAGCAATCTTTTTCATGAGTTTTAAACGTCTTCTTATTACGAAACCTTTCTCCGCAGGTTTTGCACTTGAACCTAATAAAACTGTCTAAAATTAGGGTTTTGGAAGAGGGAGGTTCAGTCTCAAGTTTCTTTGTTTTCACTTTAATTTTCTTCTCTTTAATCTTGGGTTCGGAGGTCTCGATAGATCTCCGGTTTACCGTGTTGTAGTTGAGACTGTACTGCATAAAACAATCACTGTTAAGAATATCATTGATATCAATCTTGGTTTCAGATTTGTTGGGAAGAGTAGCATCTCCCTCTTCAGACAATGAAGAATCATATTTTGACAAATCAGGTTCAAACTTAAGCTCAGGGTCGGAGCTGAGAACAGCTGGTATGCTGGCAACGCCCACACAAGATTCACCCAGCCTCTGAGGTCTGCGGTTATTATCTTGTACTGGAGAGAAGTAGTTTGTTAACTCATCAGAAAGGCCTGCTAGTTCTTTGCAATTAGAGACTGTACTTTTATCCTTTGCTGTAGTTACTGAACTAGAGCTAGCCTCAGTAATATGCTCAGGAATCTGAAGAGTTTTCATATTACTCGCTGATATATTATTTTCCTTGTTATTTAGATTTTTTAGATCATTTAGATTATTTTTCTGTTCTTTTTCAAGGTTGGATAGGATGGGAAGAGCTGTCCTAGATCTTCGTCGATGTGCGTTCTCTCTTTTATCAGCTTTTATAACAGTTGCTATTGCCAGGTTATCTTGAAGATCCTGGCGAACCTTAGTTTGTCTTTTCTTAGAGGTCGGAGAAAAATAAGTTGCAAGCTCGTCATTCAAAACGTCCTGCTCTTTCTTCTTCGGCGGTAGAGAAGGTTTCTTCTTTTCTTGGCGCTGATCTGATTTGCTAACAGATTTTTCTGTTAATTCGGACAAGTCTTCTTCCGTCTCATCAAATTCTAGATTACGTTTTCTTGGAGAAACGAACTCGATGCACTGATTTGTTAATATTTGAACCTTAGTTGGAGTTCCAGAATTTTCCATGGAAGCTTTGATGTTAGATGAAACCTTCTCATCAAAACTTTCTTCGTCAGATGAGTCGTCGAAATCTTTCATGTGTTGATGAACCGAGTCCAGGTTAATAGATTCCTCGCTGTCCGACATAATCAAACTTGTCAACTTCACTTCAGCAAGGGAGTGCAGCTGGTTGAATAACCTAGGGGATGGTGTAGAGAATCCGGTCAAATCCGGATCTGATAAAGTTCGATTCTTATTAACTTGAGACTTTTTGGAGGAACTAATAATAGGAGAAGTTGGAAAGTTAATTTCTAGTTTCTCCGGTGTAATGAGTTTCTCAGTCATGTTTTTTTTAGAGGAGGTAAGAATTGGTGAGTTCTGACATTTAGGTTGAGCTTTCTCCGGAGTATTCGCACTAGAGAGATCTATTACTCTAGCAGACGAACTTAATCTGTCTAATCGTCGGCCTGGACTTTTCCTTGGAGTCAGACTAACCCAGGTTATCTTACTAGGGGTGTTCTTGGAAGCAGACTTCATCGGAGAGAAGAGTGAACCTTTCTTGGGCGTATCTTTGGACGGTGTTTTCAGAATACCTCTAGCGTGATATCCTACTCGTTTAGGGGTTGCAGGAATATGAGCAATATTGAAGGAAACTCTTTTAGCAGGAGAAACATCCTCTCCTCCAAACAATAACGAAGTTTTTATAGGCGTCACACAAGACTTAACATTATCAGATATTGATGCAAGACGGAGTCGTTTCCGACCTTGACCACTATTCAAATCTTTGACCGGACAGAAAAAGTCAGGCGTAAGGTGCTTCTTCGGAGTTCTCTCAATTATCAGAGTGTCTTCATCACTAGCAGAGAAGATTCGTTTCCTAGTTCGTCCGCAAAGTTCATCTTGAGATGAAGATCTTAAAATCTTGGCAGATCCATCCTCTTCATCCTCTCCATCCTCCTCATCCTCTCCTCGCTTCCTCTTTCTTGAATTGAATTGATGAGCGAATACGACATGTTTAATCGACTGAACACTTTCATCAGAATCACGCCTGAAAATGACAAAAGTTGAAATGAGTTTATTAAAAATAAATGAAGCTTAAGCTTACTTAAAAAATAACCCTACCTTGCTAAATGGGCTGAACTGACAAGAAGCGAAGCGTTCAACACATTTTCATATTTGGACATATTTCGAGACCTAAATGCATGTTAAAACAAATGAGCATAAGAAAAATGAATTATAATGGGGATTTAATGGTTCCAAGAATGCGGAGGGGTTAAAATGAGAAAACTAAAGTTTATTCTTACCTATTATCAGAATAGAACTCGGACTGAGTTCCTGTAATATTTAGATAAGAAGAGACTTTCTTGTCTGGAGTATCTGAGATACTCCGGTTCCCGTCAGATTTTCTCCGCAAGTTTTTGATAGACGGAGTTTCAGGAATAAGAATTCGGTGTCTTTTTGCCGGCGTAAGCTTTATCGGCGTCATACGCGATTTCTTTTGAGGAGTCGCGATTTTTTTCTTAGGAGATTTGTCGAATGATAGATTTCTACGCGCTTGTTGCACAGATTTTCTTACAGGTTTGGTCAGGGTTGCGACAGCTTTCTTGATGCTGCTTCTCCTGCCAGCTGCTCCATGAGCTAAAGCACTACTTCTTCTCACAGCTCCAGCAGGTTGGGTTCCAACCGCAGCTTTTACTCCTCTAGGTTTAGCGACAACTCCGAGTCTCTGCTGGGGTTTAGAGGGTTTATCCTCCCCTCCTCTACACTTGTTTCTACGTAATCCTCCTAAATTCATATAAAAAATATTTTTACCGCCAACGCCGAATTTATTATATAACTAGCTTTAAAACCCAGCTTTGCCTGGAATTAAACTTTATTCTATTAAAGACATCTCACTTAACTTGGAATTTTTTAGCCCAAGCAAAGAACATTTTTCTAAGATCCTACCAAATTTCCAAATTAAAATTTGAGGCAAATCAGTGAAGGGGTTCCATAATCCAGAGTAATGAAAGGACAAACAAATCAGACATCATATCTTTAGATACCTGCAGAGATATTTATCTGACGATTAAGACTGGCATCAAAACTTTTCGGTCTAGCCAAGGGAATTCTTCTTCCTGTACTTTTCGTCTCCTATAATAGGTTAAAAAATATTAATGCAAAATCAACCTCTCCTTTGCAAATCAAATCAAATCAAATCAAATCAAATCAAATCAAATCAAATCAAATCAAATCAAATCAAATCAAATCAAATGGTTTAGGTTTTGCTTGTGCAGGAACGGAGTTTTAATTCTGTCCTGTCGAGTATCTAATAAAGAAAGGTACCTGCTGCTGATTACTAGACTGTGAGACACTAGATACATGAGAGATATTACTGCTCGGAGCAGCACTTTTAGGTTCAGGACTGAAGATTGAAGTGAGCTGCTTCGGTCTATCCTAAATACAAGATAAATGTCAGCTTATTCATTAGTATATAACTGAATTGAGAGGGAAAAGTCGAAAGAATGTTTCTAGATTGAATTTACAAGGTTGGCATGGAAAAACCCAGCCCAAAAAAAACCAATAAAAAGTTGATTTTTTTGGGTTTTATTGGTTTTTCAATAATTTTATTTAACAATGGCCCTTTTTTCACTCTAATCATAATTAAATCTTCAAAAAATAAGGTTTACTATCAACTGTATTGATTCTTAGGGAGTATACAGCACTAAAACTGACACATTTATTCTTTTCTCACGAGTTTACAAAATATGTTGCGATAGAATACAGATATAAAATCCCTTTATCATTCTTATGTGAGTGATCTGAAGTTTTTCGGTATTTAACAGTAGTCTTCCCTCTAAAGCATAGGAATATCTACCGATTAATCTGAGACGCCCCACCCCCAATCAGAAATATGTATCCAAGTGAGAAAATAGAAGTAGTCAGATATTCACAGAACTATAATATAAAAATATGGTAGTATTCCCCCTTTGAAGAAAGGAGGTGATATTATTGTATTTGAAGAGTATTTAGTATGAGTATAATAGCCTATTATCACAACAATATTATTTTTCATAACTATAAAGTTCACCTATTGCTTAAATAGTCGTATTATTATGAATTAGTATGAATTTTTGTAGGTTTCAACTATTTTTAAATTAAAAAACCCAAAGCCCGATAAAACCCAAAAAAACCCAATAAAACCTACTGGGCTGGTTTTTTTTTGAAAAACCGGGTTTTTTTCCAACGCTGATTAAATACGCATAGAAAGAACTTAAATCCAAATTAAGAAATGTCTAAAGGAAAAACCAAAAAATTATTATTGTTAAGCATTAAAGCCAAGAAATATACCTAGGGAAACCCCATTTTGTTGAATTTCGTTTACTCGCAGATTTTGCAGTGAACTTATTTCAAATTGCTGCATCTTTAAGGGGAATATATTTTAAAGAATTATTGATGCACTGAAAAGAACACGAAAAGTTGGACCTCAAAAGGGAAGTTTTTCACCATTCTCTTTATATACTTTTTACCCAATTTTTTTATTTATACCCCCCCCCCTTAAATTCAGCGAATAAAACCTTAAATCTTGTTTTGCCGTTCCGTGCAAAAAAACAAAATCAAATCACATGAGTGTTAGGGAAAACTTTAGGCTCCATTCTACAGCCTGGAGTTTCAAGTCCTGCCTGAGAGATGGTTTATCAGCCCGGATTTGTTTACTGTTTTTACCATTAATGAATTAAATGTTTAAGTAAAAAGAGATTTTCCAAGAAAATATACATCCCCTGTTATCTTCCTTGATTGTGACCAAGAATCAGCAAGAAGTAGAGAGAACTATATGAAAAACAGGAGAAATATTGAGGAAACTTTGAAGTATTAGAACGGGAAGAAAAACGAGGGATAAAGATGAGACTGTACCTGGTCTAGCTCGTCATACAGACTACAGAGAAGATCAGGTTCCCGATCAATATAACAATCCAACAAAACCTTCTAAACAAACAAAATCATGTTCAATGCTTTAAAGTATCAATTGAATTTCTGAAACTTAAAAAGTCACTCAGGGGTTATTATAATTCCATGCGTATGGCCTAGCCCCCTCTATTTTTATTTAATTTTTCTTAAAACCAAAAAACAACAACTTACAAGACAAAATTTTAAAATATTATCGATCATCTATTTTTTATAATTAAAATCAAAAGGGCGAGTTAAATATTACAGGTAGCAAAATTTTTAATCCGATGGAGAATTAGGGAAAATACTTTAATAGTTTCTGGGAAAATTTTTGATTTAGGGGTGAGGGAATTATTTGATATAAAACACTTTCCAGTGGCTGAAAAAAGGAATGATATACAAGTTTGAAAAGAAAAAGAGGAAAATAATAAAAAGGCGAACCTGAAGAAATTCCTTCATATGAAGAGGAGAGGACTGGAATGAAATTTGTCTGAAAAGTGTAAAGATTATAATTAGAAGATGATATTGAAAGACAGAGACTGGTAAACATTCTTTCAAAAGCAGCGCAGGAAATGGACAGGCAAAGGGAGGTAAGAAAAAGAGAAACTGCGGACATGCAGATTGAGAAAGAGAAGAATATTTGAAATTATTATATTCCTCGTACCATTTTATTTTATAAAAATTATTATTTATATAATACAAAAAGACATTCGTATATATATGTTGCCTATAGCCGGCCAAACGACTGCACCGATTGGGCTGAATTTTTTTGTGGACACTCATGGGTGGCCGGGGGGTGTTATAGGCTAAAAAATCGATTTATTTTCAAATTTTTTTTTTCATGGGCAACGCTGGGCTTTTCAGCTAGTAAAAAATAAATTCTAAAACACATTGTTTAATAAGATGATAATGAAAACATAAATGCGCTGAACTACCTGAGATGATCAAGAATAGTTCTCTCAAACTTGGTTTGTTCTTCTTGTTTAGCCAGGAGCCAGTATAGTTCACATCTCAGGAGAACCTGAACCTGGACACACAAATAAGTTGACAGGGATCAGATTTAATGAACGAATGGTTCATTTACTTCACATAGAATTAAACCGGCGCACACGAGAAGTGGTTGAACTAAATCTGCACGGTTTAGCTCACTATTCAATAAATCTGGTCCCAGACTTGACCGATTATGTTAGGATAAGATAGATAGATATGAGGGGAAAGGGGATTTTACCAACTTTTCTCCTCTTATACTGATTTTTAAAATATTTAAGCGAGAAAAACAGAACGTTTGTTCTAAAAGTTGTAAAAAGTTGTTAGGCACTAGGCGCATGGATGTTACGATAAGGTCATTTATCTAGTGTTTCAGACCCAAAACATAGTTTATTATGTGTAACTATTAAAAAAGTTATTTTGATCATCAAACATAATAAATATATTTTTTGATAATTAAAAAGTATTCACTTAAACTTACTTTATGTTCACTTATCCTAAAAGGTTTACTTGACGGGTATTGTTTAAGTACTGCAGGAGCTTCGATAAGAAGATGCGAGCTTATAAAATCTAAATAAAAAATAAATAAGATTCTCAAAAAAAATTATTAAATGATTTATCAATTTGTTAATCAAAAAACATTTAATTTACCTTCAAGGTTTGTTTTAGCAACTCCACATACATCTAGATGTTTGAGTACAATTGAGACACACGCCTCGGAGAAACTTGCAAATCCTTAAATTAGAATTAAGTTAGAATTTTCAAAATAGAAAATAATTTGTCCAACGTTGCGAATTATTTCATTAAACACTAGCCGAGGGCCCAGCGTTGCCAGAGAAAAAAAACATTCCATTTTTTAAAGCCTTTAACACCCTCCGGCCACCATGAATGTCCAATTTTTTCCCAGCCCAATCGGCTCAGCCGTTTGGCCGGTTATACGCAACATATATATTTTATTTTATATATATCTTGTTTTATTTTCTAGAATATAGATAGATTGTTCTGAAAAGCTTACCTAGATTGTCTCCTGATTCTGCCGTGACTAATTTTTGTTTCTCCGAGGAAAGTAGGTTCGCAATATCTTCTCCCTGCTCTAGATCTACCCTGGATATGAACCCCTCCAGGATATTTTTAGCTTGGCAAGATTTTGCCTCAAATGTAATTTCCTAAAAAGAATTCTGGTTCATCTATGGTGGGACAAGTATCTAATGATTTATATTGAAGGAAGATTTTATTGTTACTTGATTTCTATAGTTTTCTAGCAACCTACAATAGATGTATTTATTTATCTCTCAAAAACAACATTTCTTATCTAATAACTATAGCATAATATAAAATCAAATCGACTACAGAGAAGATCAGGTTCCCGATCAATATAACAATCCAACAAAACCTTCTAAACAAACAAAATCATGTTCAATGCTTTAAAGTATCAATTG